TTTTAAAAATATTTATTTATAAATTGATCAGATATACATTATATAATAAAATGTATTAAAAATATTTAAACTTTAAGTATATGTAATTCTTTCTACCCAAATTGTAAAAAATGACTTTTTCACAATCCGACCAGGTAGCCGAATTATCTAGTCAGGTGATCGAATTATAAAAAACCAGCCAGATAGGACACCGGATAATTTCCGGATATTATTCTTAAAAACAACAGATATGTTAGATAAAATTTTATTAGCTTTCTGTTTAATAAAACAGAAAATACGAGAAGAAATAATTATATATAGTAAATGTTTAAATTATCGCTTTCCTTTAAATTGATTAAATATTCGATGAACTTTTACAACAATTTGATAGGCTGAATGTACTGCGAGAGAATTTTCAGAATTGAGGAATTTGTTATGAAAGTAAGAATACATTTTTATATTTTATTTGCACGTGACGTAGTTAAAAAGAATTTTGAGATAAATATAAATTAAAAGATATTGATTTTTCTTGTTTTAGTAATGTTAATCTGCATATTGTTAGTATATTTTATTATAAAATGTATACATATAAAAAAAAACGTGATATATATAGGATAAATTTTTTAGAATAAAATTAAGCGATAAAAAAATAAAGTTGTATAATTAATATACAATGTATGTGCAATGTTATCGTGGCATGGACAAAATTTTGTACAATGATTTCTTTCTGCTGATATAGCGACACTATTGATTTTCATGTTGGCATGATGTGTAGTAAGAAGTCTATACATTCAGTACAATTTTGATGACTAATAATTGCATGCAGTTTTTGATGTCAATAATTGTCAAAATAATTCTTGTTTGTACCATCGAAACGGAATGTAATTTGAAAAAAAAAGTACGTATTATAAAATTATTCGAAATAAATTCTGATCGAAATTATTCAATTATTCCTAGATTTTTATTTTCTAAGAAAAACGGAATAATTCTGATCGGAATTCATTCCGATTTGTTCCATGATAAATGTTCTAAGAATCAAATATGAAATTCAGGAAGAATGAAAAGAAAGAGTCAGAAATTTGTGAAATGTAAACAATGTTAAAAACTCCCAAAGTCTCCTTGCATAATGACTTTCCATGCGAAACGAGATCCATCTCATCTCCTGCCCACGCGCTTCCGGCTTTCCATGTAAAGCGAGATCCATTCAAAATATGATTTAATTATTCTTTTTGAACCTCGCTTCGTGTGGAAAATCTTACACCTCTAGCAGAAAAAAGCGACACTCTCCCCTCCTCCCTAAAAAAAATTTAACCCAATCCATATTTTAATGTTAGGGATGGCCCTCGCTTTGCAAAGTGTACACAAAGCAAGGGTGTAAAATGTACTGTCTTCACGCATATACAATGTAAAGCGAAAGGGATGTAAGGTACGTAGTTCTTAATATTGTACATAGCAGAAATATAAGACATTATTTCTTAAATTTTTTTTTATTTATAACTTTTTAATGAGTAACTTGTTTAAGTTCTAGGTACTCAAGATCAGTATTTTTTCAATTATTTTGTTAATAACTTTTTAACGGATAACGACCGACTAATGAAACTTGTTGAAGGTTATTCAGAATCATGAGCTTGATAATATGTGTTCAGATTAAGATCATCAAAGCGAGATTTCTTATTCGGTACATTTATCTTTTTGACTTCTAAGTGAAAACTTAAAGTTTTCCTTATAAAACTCGTTTTTAAAACTAAGATTTTGTTGGCTAAGTTTAAATTAAATGAAAAGAGTATTTTAATTTCGAATGCTAACTTCATTAAAAATCATCGCAATTTAAAAAACAGATTCTTAAGACTGAAACTTTACTCTTGTTAAATAGTACAATTGCAAACTTTTTTATGATATATACCTAATATAAATAAAATAATATACGAACTTTTGTTCTGATATATTAATAATCCAATATATTAATTATTTACACTTTTTTTTTATGCTTTTTCTCATTAGTTTAATTTTGTCGTTTTTTTATATGCGTTGGATTTCATTTTAATTAAATCAAAACTGCGTATCCTAGTTGCATGTTTATTAAATACAATTTTCCGATCCTGATTCTTTTATACATAGAACATATATAACATATCAGGTAATTATAACTTAAAAGAAATCACGTGTAATATTCAAAATCAATATAAAAGCTTTTCTCCATTCTTAATACAATCACTTCTAAGCCATTCTCTTTCCCCATCTTGTTCCACCATGATTAGGCATTGCTGCAAAATCAATTCAAGCTTCTCACGAGATTTCCGCCGCCAATTGGATCCAAGTTTCGCACAAGATTTCTGCCTCCAATCTGATTTAAATTTCTCACAAGATTTCCGCCTCCGATGTGATCCAGATTTCGCGTGAAATGCAGCTTCTCTAAGATGCTCATCGGTTGATCAATGCGCTGTTTTGTTCTTGCGTTTGGATAATCGATGCTTCTAATCAAATGTCCGCCACCAATTTGATCTAGATTTCTTACGAAATGCCTGCCGATCTGATCTAAATTTTTAACAATTTGTCTATCACTCTCTGCGTTATTTGAAACAATGCCATTAAGTTGTTCCATAAATAACTGGTTATTTGCTTGATTGGCACTTAAATCAGGACTGTTTAATGGATGATTTATTGTATCTTCAAATGCTACAAAATTGATCGAAGAATTAATGAGATTTCCATTACGAAAACGATCGGCAAAAAGTTCCTCTCGGCAGAATGTGTCAAGTATTTGCTTGTCAATGGCGGAATTTAAACATTCAATCAAACGACTCTCTTCTTCGTTTAATAAACCTTCAAATTGCTTGTCCGTATCCCTTACGAGATGTCCGCCACCGATTTGATCCAAGTTTCGCTTCGTATTCTGTTTAACCCCTACAATGATGAAAAAAAGGAATTACTATGGCTTTTTATAGAAGGATAAAATTTGATTTTTTCGGCGAATATTTATTACATTGTTAATTACAATCGAAATATTCATATCGCATTTGCATTAGACTGAATAAATTAATAGTAAACATGCAGACTATAATAAATATGGAAGCATTAATTTTGTATCAAATCTAAATTTGTTGAAATTACGATACATGCTTCAGTAGTTTCAATCTTAATTCTTTTGCTTATTCGCTGGGCTGATTTGCAATTCATTTTTTATTTGTGATTCTCTATATCTATGCCATGCATAAAATATAAATTATTACTTATTGAAAAATTAATATTTGATCTCACCTTGCGTGCACCTCTTGTGTAGAGTGAGATCAAATATTTGTATTTACAAACGGCATTTTTACTCTTTAGTCAATAAAAAATATTTTCCTAGCACTCACCTATAAAAAGAGGAATCAAGATAAAGTAAAGATAAATGTGAGGTAAAGATAAAAGTAAAGTAAAGCAATAATTTAAAGTGCACAGCATAGATGATAATCTGATGACAGTTTTTAGTTGCTGCTTAATATATCAATTTTTTTGTTTTCTTTACACTATCTATATAACATAATCCATATAAAATTCATGCGTGCTATCAAAATCGTCGAAGAACTGCATAAAACGAACTAAATTGCGAAATAAAAGCCTGAATAAAAATTGCAGGGATTGTATAAGACTTGCACATGAGTGCAATAAAACCATGCAACGACATGTCATGCGTAAACAGGTGACATTAGAATTCTCACACCTAAACTGTTATCACGCTTACCTCCATCGATGTCGCCTACGCAATTTTAACCCGTGCACTTAATGATGTACATACATCATAAACCCCTCGGGTGCGACAATTTTCTATATTCACACGCAAAATTTCTTTCGTGAAAATTAAGCAGACTTCTCGCAAATTTCCCAAGTATATTGTTTAAGTTTAATCATTACACGAACTTTTTTATTTTATATGACGTTTATTCCGGAACCGCTAGACACACATACTCCAAATCAATGATTAATAGCACGATATTATAGAAATACATAATAAATGATAAACGTGTGTACACAAGAAAGATAAAAGCCGAAAAGGTCGAAATAACAATGTACATATTTACTCGAATTATGAAATTTTGAATAGTGGTAGATAACCACACTGACTACATGTTTTATCAGTTCATCAAGCTTAATTATACATCAAATATTAATAAATTTTAGATACACGTATTGTTCGGTAAAAAAATATTATGGATTTGAAATTATTATTTAGATCTGTATCTTCAGTTGAATAAAATATATTAGAACTAGAAATAGAATAAAAATATATTAGAACATTGTGTGAAATGACAACACAGCAATCTTAAAAAATTAATTAGAACTGAATTCTTAAAAAATAATATATATCGATAAATTGATATTCTATCATATTTAATTCCCCATTTCTGAAAGAATTTCTCATCTTTAATAATCTTTTAAAAAAGCCCATAAATGTCTTTTCTATATTTAAATCATTTTTATTCCAGTATTTATAAATTAATCATGTGAACATTGCAATGATTATTTTATTAAGACATTCACACGCGCCAATATTTTGTACTTATACATTTTTTGAAGTTGATTAAAGTTGAAGGATGAAATCGTTGTAAATAGCCAATTAATTGTTACGTCATCTAAATAAGTGTGGACGTTCTGTAGAAGCAAGTTTATGGTCTCTGAATCGCCGATTGTAATGCTATAATCGAGCCATAAAATGCAATCAAAAGAATGCGCGATAATAAAAGTCATAAATCATGCTTCTATGCTCTTTATATCTATCAAAATAATATTTCTTGTATACATTCTATACACAATCCATTCTCTGACTTAATTTTAATAATTTAATTTTACAAGATGCTTCAATTATAAAATAATATCTAATTTTTATTTTATTAATAATTAATAAATAATATTATCTATAAATAATAATTTTAGGAGAAAATTATATTCTATTCAATTCCAACAAATTGCTTCTAGAGCAATATATTGTACACTTCGTATATAATGTGCATAGTGTATCCTGAATTTAAACGTCAAAACTTCGTGTGTAAGGGATCGATAAACTAATAAGTCCTTTATGCTTGTTTTACTTTGTATACATGTTACAGTAAAAGTGTTAACTCAGTAAACGTAGACACTTACTGTAGTCTATTGTAGTGTGTCAATGTATACATTTACAATACGTAAATGTATACATTGACTAGTAAGTGTATACATTTACTAAAGTTAACACTTTGACTGTGACATATATATATATATACACACTTAAATTAACTTCATATTTTTCTATTTTCTTATCGAATTAATTTCTTTCACGGAGAGAGAAAGAGAGAAAGAGAAAGAGAAAAAGAGACAGATTAATTTCTTTTTCGTTCTCTGGAAATATTAGATTTACAAATAAGCAATAATCAAGTAATATTTAGATTGTATTTTATCCATAATTAAATACAATAACCGATATTTAACAATAGCAAACTTCTTTTTCGTTTTTGAAAAGTTTTATTTCTTTTAACATATTTTTTTTCTATAAAAATGTATTTACTTAATATTTTTTCTTGGCATTAATTACTATAGCATAATTAGTTTGAAATAATTTTTATCTTGTGACATAAATAATCAAACAATTTTAAACTTAGACACTACGTTAATACGATAGATTGATACTTTTACAAGTAATTAATTAAAGTACATAATATAATAAGTATCGGCTGCAATGCATACGTGCATATCGGGCTAAACTTTTAACGTGCAATTCCGATAGACCGGATAGAAGTGATATATCAAAGGAATATGTTTAAAAATTTATGTTATTAGTGTGGTATCGATTACACATTGTTTTCTCTTTCGCGATAGTATACAATCTACCATAACTAGACAATGCGTATGCTCCAGTATGTACTTAAGATCAAAGTTAAAGTAGAATTGCCCACTGCATTATTTATCGTGTACTTGTATACATTTACAAAAAATTTCCAGTGACAAATAATCTATAAAAGAGGATAATGCGAATATGTTTATTCTTTTAATTTCTTTTACTTCGCATCTATTGATCTCCGTCGCGCAATATTGTAATGGACAGTAGATATAAATTTAAATTTATTCAATTATTTATTCATCAAATTTATTCCCACTCGTTATTATTACAATTACATGTAATTATAAACAGTATTCAACAATGCATTAAAAATAAAATGTTTACAGACATCTTTATGTGCTTATTTTATATCGAATTTTATCAATGTTACTTATAAATATTACTTGCCTATTATTTTTATTAAAAAAATAAAAATAAAAAACAGATACCAAAGAAATTTAGTGTCTTATATAATTTAAAAAATTTCAAAACAACGCAAAAATGATTTAATTATAAGGTATAAATAGAATAATAAATTACATCTTTATATATATAATTATATATATTCTATATCGGTCTGATTTTTATAATTTGTTTGTAATAATTTCTGAAGTATGGTTTCATAATTAATATTTACATTCTAAAAGTGAATATTTGCCATTCTTTCTTTTTCTGACATTGTCTTTCCGTACAATATAATGAACATAAATAAATGTCATTTTTTTTTTTAAAACTTACTTTGACCTTCCATATATCTTGCCAAGAGATCCGCCAATCCTCCATATTCATTCTGCTGCAACGTATTCTGTCCAGCCTGTAACTGTAAACAAAGAACTTTTTAATTATATAGCCACAGGCCTTGCATATTACACAACTTATTGTCTAAACGACAAAGCTGCCACGGGCAAGTTGCTTCCATTATTAAGAAGAGTAGAAAAGTTTGAACTGTCGAAAATTATAACGTAATAAAATTTAAATGTCGTTTGTGGAAAATGAACAAATATATATAAATTTTCTTTTTAGCACGTTTTTAATACTTTTTTGACGAACAAAATTATTATATTATCCTTTATTGCAATACAAACAATAAATGGCAAAGCAAGATTGCTGTCACAAAGTCGTTAAAAAAAGCTATTAAAATCGATCGCGAAAATTCACAAAATATGAATAATTGAGGACAATATTGATAATTAAGGGGATCATAAAGTCATCTGTTTTGCCGATTAAACGCAACAATCTTTGTATAATAATTATGTTTTTCTCTTTTATAGATTTAAAAATCTTTTTTCAAGATTAAAGTATATCCATATGCATTCGGAAATATCACCTGGATGCTACCGTGAATCATCTTATTCTTATTTAATAGTAGGTAAAATTATATTATTTAATATTAGGTAACAAGAATAAAATGATACACGGGGGCACTCCGGTGATGTTTTCGAATGCAGCCTGATACATGTCTATGAGGTGGAATTTATGCCACAAACAAAAAAAATTGTTTAAATTGACATCTTTAATTTCTTGGTCCAATATTATTAGAACTTAGAAATATATTAACAGCATTTGCTTGATATAAAAATATTGCAACTTCTACTCACGAAATTGTGGTCCACAGACTGGTAGTACATACAAATAAATAATTACGGAGTTCTTAGAATTAGACTCTGATTAAAATTATTCTATGAAAATTTACATGTATGTGTAAGATATTGATGTAGTAGTATATAAAGATATGTCAATGTGTCGCATTTTATCAGCAAAACAGTTCCGTCAGGTTTTTCTTTAGGATCCCCTTTAAGGCTCCTGAGTCAGCATGCGATTCAAAATCAATCAGCAGTCTGGCGAAATGTAGCGAAACCGGTAACCACACACACACACACACACACACACACACACACACAAGCATGAACACATAGGCTCATGTATTACAGTGCCTCGCCACGATAAATGGCTGAACTTATAAGGGTGGAAAAACGTTTTGATGACAATGAAATTTGTGCTGCATGCCATTTCGTTATTATTTGCTTAATTATGAAAATGTGATATGTCTCGTACTTATGAAAATCCAAAAATGGACAGAAACTATAGTTGGAATTTTATAAAAGTACATGTTTCATTTCATGTTTATTTCAACAGCTGTTCAAACCGTGTGTTTCTCCGAAAAGCTCACTTTATCTGCCTTTTACAACCGTTTACTGACTTTAAGGGAACAAAGGATATTTCTGCCCATTTTACCTACCACAGGTATTTTAGCAATCTCATCATTAAGGTTTATCCAAATTGTTTTTATTTATAAATAGCTTGCAGTATAAATTAATGTATCATTTCTCGCTTCTGATATCACGATTCATTCAACATGGCTGCCGCAACTATTCAGGAATCTTAAAACCATAAAAAATTAATTTGAATTATTATTTAATTGTAAGTTTTGATTATGGAAATCTTGGAAGAATCTTAATAAGAGTCAAAACATTACTACTTTTAATTGTTTCATTTAATATTAATATCATCTTTTGTAAGACTTGATGAAACAAGATTTAAATCGTCAAAATTGATCCTCAATGCATCCGCGAAGTAGTATAGGTCGATATATTACGGTTGCTGTAGCTTTTCATTATATCGTTATTATAGCGATAATAATTGACTGGCTGTAGAACAGGGTTGTTTGCAATACAATTTCAACACTGCTTGGTTATAAAAAATATTAATAATTTTTTCATGATGCACAATGTCATTTTAGCATTTTCCGATGATAATCTATTTTAATTATCGATATAAACTAATATAACTATGCAAAATTAACTTATAAATTGTGCAGGAAATTTAACTAATAATAAAAAATAGAATAAATCTGCATCAATGATGTAAACTTTCAATATAATCTTCAATCGGATATATATATATTGCCGGATATTAATAATATCTGACTATTCGGATAATAAAAAAGTACCGAATAATATCGAATACTGAATATTTTCTGAACATCCGGTACATCTCTAATATAAACTGTTTAAGTCCGATTACGTTGTTGGATTTGCAATAGTGAATATTTTTAAGCATCGATTGTATTTGACGCTTTCTTATT